ACGACTGCTAATGGCAATACTGATAAAACTGGGTTAAACCAACTGATGAGGAGGAACTTCCCGAGCCCACCCACCAGACCAAATCAAGGTGGCGGCTGGCCTCCTCAGCCCAGGAAAAAGCCACGGCCACAGGACAGAGACAAGATGGCTGCCCTGCCACATGGTTTGCCTCCCCCACGCCTGGAAAACCTGGCAGGAAAGTTGGAGAGTCAGTGCTGGCAGGAAATAGTGGATAATGGGATTTGATACCAGCAGACGCTGCTGTGGCACCTGTAGTGAGGCTGCAGTGCCAGGTCATGCAGTCGGGGCAGGACTGTGGACCCCCAGGTGACTGGAAGGATCCACAAGACACTTGTTGGATCCATGACAAGACTTGGTTGTTGTGATTTCGATGTTATTGGTTGAAGTGGTGGTTGCAGTCTGGATCTGTCAAGGTGATGGTTGAAGCCTCAAAACTTATATACACTCAGGTTCAGGTGGGAATGCCTCCAATATCTCCCCTGAAGCAGGGAATTTTGCACTGGATGATGTAATACTGTGAGTCATGGGATACTAGGGAGTCTTTGACACCTTCTAAGATTTTGCAGCTGAGTCCATTATGGCTCATCAAAAAGAGATGAATACCTTCAGGCTAGATGTGAATGTTTGGTGGAGTTATCATAGCTGAGTCATCTCTGTAAGGTAAAAGAAACACTACCCCACCTCTTCGGGTTTGCCTCTGTCCTTATCTTGTTTAACACCCACCTTGTAGGCTGAGGTGTTGGATGTGCACGCCTTCAGCCCCTGGCCTGGGTGGCCACTCTGCACATTGTTATCAAAGCACAGTGCTGATTGAGCCATGAGCACTGATAGTCCAGTCTCTTACAGCACCTGGGTGGTCACTGCATGTGGTCGAATGTTTGAGTAAGTAAATCTCTAGCAGTTCAGTCTCTCTAAAGGCAAAACACCAAAAAGGCATATTTGGAGGAAAAAGGAAAGAAAGGTGATACCAGAATTTTCATGTAACCCAGGACAAAAAGCATTTTAGCATTATGCAATAATTTGTCTTTTGGCTTATTAGCATTGTTCTGAAGTAAGTATAACAGTGCATGTATGTGCTGTTTCTAACACAGGGCTCTATTTATTGATATGGCTGTGACAACCCACATGTTCTTCCCCCTCCCTCATTTCTTCATGTTATATGTTAAATAGAAGTACATCAAGTGGGCTTTTCTCCTTCCCTGAGAATTCTTTAGTATTTACTATCCCATGGTGATCTTTTGTCAGCATGTTTCTTTCAGCTTCTGATGTTTTTGCTGTCCCAGACAGTTAAAAAATTGTGGCAAAATTTTATTAATCTTTCTGTCTTGGGAGGTTTTAGCTATGTATTGACTTGCCTTTTACAAACTCCATGAAGAATGTATTCATGTGAGGAGAGATGTTTGAAAATAGGGATGCTTGAAGTGTGCACTGCAGCACACATAGGTCTCCTGTCATACTCAGTGTCAGGAAAAATACTCTGAAGTCCATTGCTGCTAATGAAGAACAGGAGTCTTAGCAAGCAAGAGAGTTTGAACCCATCTTGTTGCAACTCAGTGTGAAAAATAACTTTATTCTTGCAGATCCACACTAATAACCACCTTCTCTGTTGAGCCTGCTAGCCTGACTTTCTAGGGTTTGGGGATATTTTTTTAATTTGTTTGGTTTTTGCTCCATTATTACAATTTCTGAAGCTACAAGCTCTTCTTTATGACTGTTTAGGTCCAGGTGCTATACATTACCTTCTTTTACACCAAAATACCAACTGATTTGTCTCTGTGAAAGGAAGAATGCAGTTCCATCAGGTGCACATGAAGACTGTAAAATGAAGCCCCTGCTGAGCACTGATGTGTTGGGGGTGTCTCAGCAATCCTCCAATGCAACATCCTGGCAAGCTAATTATAGCAGCTGAAATGTCTCAGTGCATGGCACAGTAACAAGCAGTAACACCCATCTGGCTGGACTGGCTGCATCTAAACCTTGCTGATGTTCTCTCTCTCATTCTGAATCCCTTGCCTGTGTTTAATCTCCTGTACTTTAAACACCTGTCTATCTGGAATGTGTGAAATATCCCTACTACCTATGCTAAGCTATTTGCTCACCTGCTTTGCTTGGAGAGACAGCTTTCAAATAAACAAGATACAGTATTAAAGAGGAAAGCATGTAAGCATGTCACAATAATAGAGCAGGACTGAGGCAGTAATTCATCAGACTAAATGGTTCTTAGTATCAGAATGATGAGAAGAGAAAATGTGTTAGCAAAGTTTTGGTCACTGTTGCTGACAAGCTAAGAATTATATATAACCTATTTCATTTACCATGTTGCCCTTTGTGTTTGCATCATTACCATTCTTGCTTCTCTTCAGACAATAAACTCTTTATGGCCAGCAACTGTCATTGTTAGGTATTTGTATAGTGCCTGGCACAATCAGAACTAAACCTAAATTGAAGCTTTCTGTTATTGCAATGAAGAAACTTTAAATTTTAAATTAATTTTGCAGAACACAACAACATTTAAGGGTGAGGTGGGGGACCAAAATGATACCTAGTGCTATTTTCCATATAAGGTGGATAGCACTGCCCATTACTAAGCTTGCCTGATATGTCCCACTGTAAGATCTTGTCTTTAGTTGTAGTGCTCTGAAACTTCATCTGTTTGGATTCATGTTTTCTGTGTTTATTGTTCAGTGTTCAGAACACTCCAGGCAAGGTGAATTATTCCAGACAAAACCAAGGCTGGATTAAAAAAAATATTTTGTGCATTTTAATATCTGCAGAACTTTTAGTTTAAATCTCTGGATCTCCCATGCTTTGAAATAGTAATTTGAAATTTAAAGTTTTGTCCAAGGTTGCTTGCACAGTAGTTGTTTGAAAAGCTTCAAGTGAAATATACCAAATGAAAAAATACCTGCTAGACCTTCTCAACTTCCTGAAGGTTCCCTCCCCACTGAGCATGATAAACTGAATTTCTCTGTATTTGTACCCCTAGTGTACTCCTTTTCTCCTATGTTCTCAGTGGCCTGGTCCTTGATGGGTTGGGGACCTATCTGACTTCAATACTGAAGGGGTTGGAATTCTGCCAAGGTATGGAGAACAGCTAGGAGAAGGAGGCTGTGAAATTTGTGCCTGGACATAATTTGGGAGAAGACATTGAGAACCATTCAGATGGAAGAACAGTTGGCAAAACGAATGGACTAGGGAGGGGAATAAAACTAGAACCACTTGGATAATAGGATATGTGAGGAATTAAAAAGGGAAGTGTGGAAAAACAGATCAAGTAACTACTCCTGTGGAAAATTTCAGATCTGAAATGGTGTGTCTCATAGGCCAGAACTAGTAGGGAGGCCAGTGCTGCAAGTCTGTCAGAATGAACTGTACTGAGAAAACCAAGGAGAACGATACCTGAAATGCAGAAGCTGGAACTGACTAGTAGAGAATAATGACACATAGATGAGAAGCAAGAATGAGAAAGGATAGAGCTGAGAAGGGATGCGATGAAAGTTGCTGGCTGCTTTTGGAGAAGCGGGCAAAAGCCTAGTGTATAACCACTAGAACTTAATTTTGTCCAGAATTGAAGTAGGAATTAAAGATTTCTGAACGTAAAAAATGCTTAGGGGCCTTGTACTACTAAACCACAAAAGCAGTGGCAGCCTACTTCAGTTGCAATGTTAGTTCATGTTCTGGAGTTCCATGAGAAGATATGAGTTTTGTGGTCCTGAACAAGCCCATTTTAAGTATGAGTGTATTTATTGTAATGAAGCTGGTTTGTACTCGTTCAAGTAATTGTGCACAAATTCTGGTAAAAGAGCATTATTAAGCTATGCTGAAGTTAAGTCACACCTTTAAGTGACTCAATAACCATCACCTTTGAGATCTAGGGCAGATGCAGGGCTAGTTGGACTCTTCTGTCTGTGTCCAGTGTTTCATTGGCTATATGCCTTCCAGTTGCCACCGAAGTGAGGAGGACCAACATAGGTAAGTTTTGGTTGCTGTTTGACCCTGATCTTGGTGCACAACTGGGTGTTTTCACTGCTAAAAAGTACCACATGATCATGTAATTAAAGGAGTCATAAACTTAATTCTGGCAGGGCTTGACTGGGAAGCCTTTGCAAAGTTAGCTTTTCAATGTTTGTAGTGGTTTGTGACCTTCATTTTTTTTTCCCCCCAAATGTAAACCATTACACTGCTGTAGTAGATCCATTGTGTTGTGCATTTAGGCTTTCTTCAGTACATCAACAGATAGCATCTGCCTGCAGCTTGGTCCTTCAAGAAGATAAGTAACTCAAAAAGAATGCTCAGAGAAAGAAACAAACACATATTACATGGTTAAAAACTCACAGATAACTTCTCTAGAGCTTGATCTAGCAAACATACACCTAATATGATTTTAGTGTGTTTCCTTGTGTGAACAGTTTGCAAGTGGTTGGGTGAGAAGTTTCTTTTGTGTGTGGTCAAGTTTGGTTTTGAATTTTATATCCAAGGTACATATGCTTTTGCATTGTGCCTGTATGGATGTATAGAGAGGGGTATGGGGAGGACAGGTGCCTGTGGTTGGCTTAGTTACGCAGTTCATGATGACTGGAGAGATACTCTGTTCTCTGCTCAATGTAATGTGAGCTTCTAGCTTTTGATTATTGTGCATGGATTTAATTTTTCACATGGCAGGAACGTGATGCTGCTTTCTTACTTTGGGATTTTTGCCCCCTCTTTGTTCTTCTGTGAATGGAAGGGTTCTAATTTTCATGCTGGCATTTGAATTCATCTCAAGCAGAATGGCTGTTGGTGTCATCTCTTCCACTGCTTTATGCAATTAGCACAGGTTTTTTGCATCTGAAGATTTCCCCTTTTCTAGCAGTTTCACTTTTCTGAGTACATGCTCTATCCCGTTTACATAGTGATACCTTTTGCTCTTTTCTCAGCTTTTAATTGTTTCTGATAGTTTGTTTGGGTTTGTTTTTGTTCTGTTTTTTTTGCCTCTTTAGTTAACAAACCTGAACTTGGCAAGTGGAGCTATAAGCAAGGGGAATGCAGCTGCCCCACAGAACTACCGGTCACCACTCAACAAAAGAGGGTCACTGTGGGCTGTTCAGTCAGACACTCATAGAGCTGACAAAAGATCTTCAGCAGTCAGGTAAGTTAAAATTGCTGCTCTAGCTTTTTGAAGAAGAATGCAATGCACTCAGGAGCTCATTTGTAATTTGTGTTTGGCTTCTTGCTTAGATGCTGTAGTGTGTCCAGAGAAGAGTAGTCAGTGGAGCTGGTGAAGGGTCTAGAGCACAAGTTTGAGGAGTGGCTGAGGGAGCTGGGGTTGTTTAGCCTGGAGAAAAGGAGTCTTGGGGGGAACACTGTATTGCTCTGGATAACTGCCTGCAAGGAGGTTGTAGCAAGGTGTGTGTTGGTCTCATCTCCCAAATGACAAGCAATAGGACAAGAGGAATGGCTTCACGTTCCACCAGGAGAAGTTTAAATTAGATATTGGAAAAAAATTCTTCACCAAAAAGGTTGTCAAGCATTGGAACAGGCTACCCAGGAGATGGTGGAGTCACTTGGAAGTATTTAAAAAATGTGTAGATGTGGCACTCAGAGACATGGTTTAGTGGTGGATTTGGTAGTGTTAAGGTTGGATTTGAGGATCTTAAAGGTATTTTCCAGCATAAACAATTCCATGATTCTATTAAAGAGCTTAGTAGTGGTTCTTCTTGGTTCTGGAATCTAGGCCTATGAAAATAGTTATGTTGCCAGAGCTGTCAGGTTCATGGTGAAATAAGGGCCCAGATGAACATGAAGAATGAGAGGGAAATGTCTGTCTTTGATTTCTCTGCACCTGTAAGTTCAGGTTTGCTGGTGTTGAGACATATATGTAGAATACAAACCTAGGTCTGATGCTGCAGCAATCTCCACTATGTCCTCATCTTCATCCTTTTCTGTGAATATCAAGTTTCGATTGTTCAAAGATGGAATAGCATAGATAGAGCAGTGTTTATTAGATTTTCTTTTCCAGGTGGCTTCTTTACGCTCTGTATTAATTTTGGACATTGGAATTTGAATTTATAGCTGATATGCTCATGGGAATCAGGGCAGAGGACTGTGATTCTGCAGTAAAACCATTCTTCCTGGGATTGAAAGAGCAGCAAGATGTACTCACAGGAGTCTGGATCTTGTACACTGAGAGCAAGTCAAGCTTGCTGTGTTAATTAGGCTGAATACAAGCCCAGAACTGCTGGAGATTTGAGTTCTTCCGTTGCCACTCCAGTAAATATTATTTATTCCTTTGCTTAAGCTTTCATTTTTGTCTTTTAAAACAGAATAATGAAGCAGAGCTTCTCCAGCCCATGAGTTTAGGACTGGAAAGCAGTGTGCACATGAAAACACCGGTTCTTGTCATTGGCATCTGAATGATACTGGAAAATGGAGGGAGGTGAGAGAGGGAGAAACACAGTGCAGAAGGCATGTGACCTAAGTGGTCATCCTTTCCCAAATGGCTCCTTCAATAGGAAATTGTAATGGGATTTGGAAAGCTCAAGTAAAATTTTTCTTGTTTCATCAGTCACTGCTTTTTACCCTGCCTAAAGAAGAAGAATGTGAGAAATGAATTCCTGGCCTGTTTCTGTTCCAGGACAATGTTTGCCTCTGGGGTTTAAAGTTATTGAGAGAGGTGGTAGTGATTCCGCTCTTGGAGCCCAGCCAGGCAAGCTATTACCTAATCCAAATAAAGAACCTATCCAATAGGTGTAAACTGTGTTTTCTTCTTACACAACTTGGGAGATCAGCAGCATACAGGCTGTGCTAGAGCTTCCTTTCTTTTTTTTGACTCTGCTTGCACCTTTTCATGGGCTCACAGACATAGCTGTAAACCCCACCACTTAATGTCCCAAACTCTGCTCTGAATGACTTCCAGGGCTGTGCCTCATCTAGCACTGTGTGCATAGTTTAATGCCTTTAGTTAAAATTTGTTTTATTTTCTACAGCGATCTGAAAATGCTTCAGAATTTTCCAGTCACAACTGATAAGAGATTCCATCTTCAAACCTTTTATGAATCATTTAGTCTTTCAGTACTTCAGTTGCTCTGTTTTTTATCCTTAGAGAAAGTGACAGATAGATGTCTTAAAACTCTTTATTGAATTATTGTATCTTTATGGATGCTTTTATTGAATGACCAGAATCCTGGGAGTTAAAAGTTTTATGTAAATCTGGAAAGGAAAAAAAAGATTCTTGAAGGAGTGCTAGATTACTTGGTCTGTGAACTTTTATTTTATGAGAGAATTCCAAAAGGAATATCAAGGTCATGATATATGGAGATTGCTATCTTGTATTGTAAATGCCTTTTTTGCTACTTGATTAGTTACGTTGGAGCAAGCAGTTCACAGAGGGTCATCTGATGGGTGTCAGCCTGTGCTCAGTGCTGGGTAACTGAAGAAAAGCTTTGTTTTGTTCCATTAAGGTTCTGGTCTATCAGTTACAGAATTCGGCAAGGATGAAAATGTTTTGTAAATGGGTTTCTTATCTGGCTTGCACTTGGCTCCAGTTCAAATATCTGCCTTTGAAATGCAGTCCTTACAGTTTTTGTATGGCTCTGTGGTAAATCTAAGCCATTTTAGTGCTGCTGAGGTTTGTTTGAAAATTTTGGGTTGATGTTTGCAGTCTATAGGATTTGGACTATTCTTGTTGACAAATCTTTCTCCCCTTTAATTCCCACTCTCCCAGTACTGACTTATCTAAATGTTTCTCAGAAGGACTCCTTTTGTTGAATTCTTTTGGCTGTATGAGGTGAGGTGCCAAATTAGTAGTCCACTAGCCAAAAGGCAAAGGAGATCTTGGGTTTGTAAAATGGAGACAGAGGACAGTTCTGGGTATGTTAAAATGTTATTTTATAAATCTGCACTGCTGTGCATTTTGAGATTTTTTTTTTTGTTACTTTCTATAAGCATTGGCGCTATTCCCACTCAAATGATGGCTTAGCCTTTTGCTGCACCTCAAAGAAGCCTGCAGAGCTCCACAAGAGGTGAGATATTGCAAGTTGTATGTGGGCTTACTTTTGACTTCTGTAACATAGCTGTCAGCATCTGCCACATTTACTGCAGACCTGTCTTTGTTGCCCTCTGTACATCATTGAAGTTATGCCAAATCTGTTTTCTCCCTCTCTAATCCTAGTCGTGTCTCAGTGCCCTGTTTCAGTTCTGTCTCAGTTGAGTTCTCACTCAATTATTTGGGTAGGGTTGTCACCCCTTTACATTGTGCTGTAAAGGCACTAAACATGATTACATGTTTTGTAGTAGAAGTATTTAAGGTTGCCATGTATTGTTTTATCACAATTTTAATAATGTAATCTAAGGACCACAAATATGAAAGTGATTCCTCGTTATTCAGTGAAACTATCAGTCACTGAAGCCAAGACCGTCCTAGAACTGCTCTTGATAAAGCATTCTCTTGAATGCATAATAAAGGTAAAAAATCAGCTGTTTAACAGAGTGAAGCTTGTTGATTCAGAACATAAACTAACTTTCAAGTACCTGTTGGCAAATTGCTGCATTACCTCTAATAGTGGGAACAGTGGACAGAGGTTACTAGAAGCTTCTGGCACTGGAATTTGCAACTGTTATGCCACTTGTTTTTTGAAAGAGACAGTGGATTTCTCCTCCAAGAATTACTTCATTTACTGCTAGGGGTACAGGTACTACACGTTCTAGATTTCAGATATTCTGTTCTGGTCCTACTAAGTATATATTCTTTGGACTTGTGAGGAAGAATCCCAGATGTCTTCTAAGAGTTTTTTCTGCAGTGGTGTATTTGGCTTCTCCAGTTTCACTGAATCTTTGAGTTTTACCAGAAAGACCCCAGACAGCAATCATAGGCTAATTGTGTTACATGTGTGTTGCCTTGTAGTTCTGAGTTGATAGTGACTTTTATTCTCTTCCATATCATTTGTTTTGAGCTCCCTGCAGTTTCTTGCAAAGGCGAGGCTGCCTGACTGCTGTCCTGGGCTGCATTTGCCAAGTGTTGGGAGCCTATTTGTTTGCACAGCATCTAGGTGTAAGGGAACTTGGAGGCTCTGCTGCCCTGATGCTTCTGGAGGAAATGAAGGGGGAAAGCAGCAAGCACTGAGGGTACACAGTAAGCCCTCAGTTCAGTTTGAGCAAACGACATTGACCGTAACACCTCCCTGGCTAAGCAGCACACAAGTGCCAGAGCAGCAGCAGCCCAACAGCACTGAGTCCAGCCCTCTGCTAGCATAGCCACATGTCTGTTCCTTTTTCCCCACAGTGCTTGTTCTCCTCCCTCTTCTCTTACCTTAATGCCTAAAATAATTTCTTTATTTGTGGCAGAGGAGTAACTGAGTGATTTTTCTGGTACCTCTGTCTGCATTGCCTTGGCAGCTCTGTCATGTTGATTCTGCCTACGGTCCTTGAGAGGCAGCACTTCTGAGAGCCCTGAATTTAGAGTTTTATATTATTACCTTCTGCTCAGAGGAGGTTTGAGGAGGGCAGGCAAAACATAGAACTACTGCCTGGGTAGCTGTATGTTCTTGCAACTCATTCTGTTTGTAGTTTGTGCATGTTCTTTCTCTACTCATGCAACCGTGAATATTTGTGCCTATAACAGCCTTCTCCTACCCCAACAACCTCTTATATTTTTTTTATTTTTTTTCCACACACATATTCCTGGGTCACCAGTGATAACTTGTTAACTGGCTGACTTGTGGAAGTGAATTGGCTGACTTAAACTTCAGAAATGCATGGCTTACCTTGTATTTTTTTTTTTATATATATATTTTGGTCACACTAAGGAAACTTGTGATGTCAGGGCCAATTGCTCTCCATCCTGCTTGGAAATTGCCCTGAGCCTCAGCACCATGGATTGGCACAGTCCTGCAGGATCCCTGCTTCCCACAGCTAGGCCTTGGCTCTGACTGTCTGGAGCCTCCAGGAGAGGAAAGGCAGAAAGCTCGTGACTTGCCCAGACAGTCTGAGGCCTGGCCCTGCAGCCTCAGCTCCCCAGACACTGTTGAGTCGGACTTGGCTGGCAGCCGCTGCACTGTTACTTTTCCAAGGTAATAAGTGAGATTAATCACAGGACCCTTTCCAGAGGCAAAGGGGGTTTGTGCTGCCTGGAGGGAGACTGTAGGAGCCAGT